CCACACGGTTATGTATCTCTTCGAGATCGCCCGCAAACCGGTTCAAGGCGTCGTTCGTATCCCACAGATATCGTCTCACCGATCCCACACGTCGCTCCAGCGCAAATACGTCGCTACGACTTGCAGCGCGGTTCTCCAGCGGAGGCCCATTCATCTGCGCTGCTCGACGAGCATGAACAGCTCCACACTATCATGTGGGACGCCTTGTGGCGCGACGTCGACGCTAGGGCCAATCCCAGTCTCGGGTGAAGTGGCGAAGGTATCCGCATTGACAAAAACCGTGGGAGTTTAGGGTTACCCAGACGTCGTGGACGCTTATGATCGGGCAAATCCGATTTCGGCCCTCGACCTCGGTGTACGGCAACGTCGCCAGGCGCGGAGCGCTTCCCGGTAGACAGGGAAGATGAGATGTCAGCAGCTAAGCTTAGGATCTTTTCGGTGGCTGGAGAAGCAGAATCGTAAGCGAGAGTCGTGCTCGCAGCGGAGGCGGACGGACGAGGGGCCTCATGGTGTTGAGGACGAGGTCCAGGGCCGTCGTCGTGCTTTTGACTGTGCGAAGTCCAGGCGTTGACGCCGATCCAAACGAATGTCAGTTTCAGCAAAACTCGCTCGGAGAGCCGCATAACTGGGTGGGTGGGGGGGGAGGGGTCGAGCGTGCTCGGTCCAGTTCACAAACGGCGCTTCGTAAGAGACTGAAGCCTCGCCTGGGCTCAGGACCACAAGGACTGTGAGCATGATTGGATCCGACGGTTGGTTCAGCTGGGGCCGAAGGCGCTCCCGATACTCCTGGGGAGCTGTGATAGGTAGTGTCAGAGAACGCCCACGGAGCTGGTGATGCCGCACTCCCCCAGTCGCGGTAGAGGCCGCCGGGCTACAGCCATACGTGTCCAAGCAGCTGAGCACCATGGCGCGACCTCTCAGCAGAATCACGGGTCGCAAACCCATAGGCGCGACGCGAGGGGTTCGTGAGTGGCCGAACCACCGGTCAAAATGACTAGGGGGAGAGCGGCTGCGCGGATACCGGCTGACTTTAAGCCATATCCAAGCCATTGGTGATCGAATCGAAGCGATCAGTCTCTTCATACCGAGATAGTAGGGGCGTAGTATAGCGCAAGGTGCACACGGTTTGTCACGTTCTGGTAGCGGATAGGATGCTTGAAGCACACGCTGTGGTGGCGAGCGTCACTCATTGATGTTAGATCTAGGGGGTGCAGGGTTAGAGTGTGACTCACTGTCCATGGGATCATCCTAATCAACATGTCCCACTTAGAGGTCTTCGAATAGGAGGTCGGCTACCCTGGGTACGCGGCTCCGGCGAGCACGGAGTGCTGTTCTTGTCAGTGTGGCGTCTCGTGGAGCGCGTGCCGTGACGGCGATGGTACTCCCGAGTTGGATTTCTAAACGGAGAGGACGGACGGTTCTCTGCGAGCTGGCGCTGGCTGTGAGCGACGGTCGAAGGCCATCTGGGGAGGAATGCGGAAGCAGTTGGGCCGTGGGTCGAGTGTGTGGAGTTGTGCATCCAAGATGCAAAAGCGTTAATGAGCTCGGTGAGCTATGGAACGTGTCGTGAGAGGTAGTGATCTCTAACGTCTTGGCAAGACAAGACCTGGTTAAGGAATTTTTGAGAAGGGGTGGGTTCCCATCTTAGTGGGGGGACGGGATTACACGATGTGGGACTCACAGTGTACGGTGTACGCGAGATCTAACAAATGCTCAGTACATAAGGTGAAGAGCTAACAATGTATCTCAATACGTTGGCGGAAAGGCACACGTTATACATTTGTTTAGGTTTAACTATGTTATATAGTTAAACGTACACATTTTACACCTAGGCGGTCTGGCCGCAATAAAGTAAATAAAAAAACTTCGGATTTTGAAGCAGAAGCGTTAGTCCAAGGTAATAACGCATTGGCCCTGGCTGTAAAGCTGTACTAAAGTTCCTTAGGATAACGAACTTGCATTACAAACTCTTCAAGTCAACGTCTTCTTCTGATGCTAAAGTTACGGCAGCCCCTAAGCAGAAGGACTGGGGATGTGATCCCTTTGGGCTAAAGGAGGGTGGAAGAAACGTATGCGGCCACGGTATCATAGTCGGTATGCTTAGAACCTGGCTGTCAAGCGCCAGTAAGATCGAGTGTTCTTCGGAACGGTAAAGAACAACTCCGTCGTGTTGGTGGAAGTCGTTCCAGGAGCGGACGGGTCATTGAGAGTCGCTAGGACGCTTTTTACCGTGACGGGTGTGTAACGCCTCTACTGAAGTAGTTGAGATCCGTCTTGTGCTTATGTCGCTGCCGTGACTATCTTTCCAAAGTCGGCGTTCGTGGCACGCGTTCCAAACGAGAGGGAGGACGCCTAGGAATGTCAGAGCTGCCTTAAGGGCTGTGAGCGATCGCTTGGCTACCGAGGTTGGAACGCCTGTGAAAGAAATGGCCGCGGTCATGGAGAACGTTGCCAAAGACAGCTTTGATGTGGATTTTGAAGACTTGTCGATAGGTATCGAGAAGAGTGGACTTTTGGGAAGATGCTGAGGGACCTGCAAGACTGTTTTGTCGAGATCCTGAAGAAGCCAGAAATGACGGAACTCATCAGTTCGGCATAAACAGAACGTTGTCACTGTGAAATACAGTTATCCGATGCCGTTGACAGATGACATTTTGGACGTTATTGGGAACGTCTCCTAGTTATACACGAGGCATATTGCTTCTGGGTATTGGAACGTTTTAAGGATCTTAGACACAGCGCGAAGAGACAGCATTTACGAGCAAGTTTTGGACTCTATAATTGGTTAGTCATTCCGTTCGGCTTGTGCAACGCCGTTCCAGCTTTTGAGCGCTGGAGAACGCTCTCGTCGACCTTAAGTGGAGGACTTGCCTCGTGTGTCTCGATAACAGTGTGGTGTTCGGTAACAATTTCCGGACCCACCTAAATTGCGTACGTCAAGTTCCGGAGCGCCTTAGAGCTGCGGGGTTCAACCTAAAGATGAACAAGTGTCATGGGGGCGCGACGAAGTAGCGCTCCTAGGTCATATTGGCACGCGTACTGGCATCATGCCGAATGTTGAAAAGGGAAGGCTATGATGAACATCAAGAGGCCTCATGATCTGCATATTGTAAGGGCGTTCCAGGACATTTCCAGCTATTTTAGGCGTTACATACCGGGCTTTGCGGTCATTGCAGCACCTCTGGGACAGCTGAAGCAGAAGCTGCATTTCAATGGAAGGATGGCTATGAGGTGGCGTTCCGTCAACTCTAACGAGCTTTAATGAAGTCTCCCATCCTGGTTAACTTCAATTTCGAGGCGCTCTTTAAGATGTATGTAGACGTTTTACACATGAAGGTAGGGGCGTGCCTCATTCAAGCATGACAGGGCCACTGCGTATGTGAGCAAGATGTTGGTAGGGTCCCAAAGAAACTGTATCTACAAGATAAGCGGAAAGAAACCGAGATTAGGTGATTGGGGATCGACTGGGCGACGCGCAAGCTCAGGCGTTATATCAGCCACGCTAATTCAGACTTGTACACTGATCATTAAGCGCTGACGTGGAATTTTGGTAAAATGACTAGGCTAGACATGCCAAGTAGGCTCGTTGGCCGATGGAGTTATCGCAGCTACGATTCAGATTCATCACAACCCGGGGGGCGTCGACGGGACACGCGTATGGCTTGTCGCGGCTGTACCATCCAACGGACTCGCACGATGTAGGTTGCTATTTGAATGGCCGACCTGCTCCATGGGGATCACGGGTGCCCTGCTGTTTCAGGTAACACGCCGACTCAGGACACGACGCCCCAGCCAGATGGAACAGCTACTCTGGATTACAAAACACTTAGTTGAAACGACGCCCCCCCCCCCCGCGTTCCAATCTCAGCCGGGAAGATCCCTGAAGCAGGCGTTCTGGGTGCGACTTACGAGAGCAGCCGGCCGATAGTGAGCGCTCCAGGAAATCTGGGGCCTCTCACATAGGATAAACAGGGGGTAGACTTGCAGGGGTGTGCTCCTCTGGTTGATGCGCTTGGATTGGATTACGCAAACGGACGGAGAAGCGTACTGAAGATGTCGCCGCACTACCTAAACAAGAGCGGCCTTGACGTGACTCGTCCACTTGGGGGTGCGTGCAAGACTAGCCAGAACGATAAGCGTTTCAGTCGTGCCGTTGGCGTTAATCAAAACCGTTCTACACTATTGGCACGCCGACATCTTCTCGGCACATATGGGCAAGACGAAGGCAACTAACGAGGTAGGGCGTCACCCTACTGGCATGGATGGAGTAAAGACGAGAGTGTACAATATGCAGCAGCGGTAGTAGCCATAGCCCATGGAGAGCTGGCCCGATGCAGCATATGCCGGCCCGTGTGCTCTCGGACTTCCCATATCAATCGCAATGATAGTCGCGTTGACATTTTTCTGTAGATTATTTTTGTTGTGCGAAGCTGGTACGTCGAGTCCACGAGCTTTGTTCCATGCGTGGAGTGCAGCTCCAGCTAAGCTGAAGCTTTTAAATTCCTGCACAGTGATTGGCAAGGTTTTGAAGGCCTAAGACGAGTTTGTGCTGTTTAAATTTGCCGTCGGTGTCTTTGTTGCAGAGCTGGACATCTTCGAGAATAAATCGAATTCGTTGGTACAGCACGAATGTAACGACCGTCCGTGCGATAGCTGTTGTCGTACTTAGAGTATGGCTCAGTTAAATTGAACTTTGCAATCTATTTTTCCTCGATATGGTATTTGGGCATTGCGTTTTTCTTACTAATTCACGAATTCATCTAAAATTGAATTTTAGTATTTTGGCTCAACGTGATTATGTAATTTTGGGTATTTTGCGCACTGTCTCTGGATCCTCAGCTCCAGCTCCCTATTTTTCCGAATTTTTTTGTTTTTTGTGAAAATAAGCTTTATGATTCTTTTCGTAAAAAATTTAATTTAAAAAAGTTTATTTTTTTAATTTGCGGAGAGGAAGTACAGTATTATTCTTGGCATCGAGCTATTTACCTTCCGTCCTCAAAATGAGTCGTCCACCACACTCCCGCAATGGCCGCAATGGTCGCGCTGCTGCTTCCTCCACCCCTGAGATGGATACGCTGGTGCTGCGCGCGACGCCTTCCATCAAGCGCTACAACATCGCTCGCTTTGACTTGCCGGAACTTCCGCATTTCAGCTCGTGTGCACAGCCCGTCATGATGTATCGTGAGCCCGAGCGCGTGGACGAGGAGGAAGAGAAGGAGGACGAAACGCCCATTGGCTACAACCCGGCTCTGCGCAAGCGCCGTCGTCGCCGCCGTAAGGACACACGTACGGCTGGTTGGGTCATCGAGGACAGCGAGGGGAAGAACAAGTATAACGGCACCTTTGAGGGCGGTCAGTCGTCCACGTACATGCTGCTGGTTAAGAATCGCCACAATGACGAGTTCAGCGTCATGCCCGTGGAGCAATGGTTCCGCTTTAAGAAGCCTTTGAACTACCGTACGCTCACGCTGGATGAGGCTGAGGAGATGAACAATGAGAAGAAACGCGCCGTCGAGCGCTGGCTCATGAAGCACAAGCTCGCAGGCGAGGATAAAAACGATGCTGGAGGGGACACCGTCAGTGCTTCACGTGTACGCACCGGTGCGCTGCCCACGGCTTCCTCTAAGCCCAAGGCTGAGGGGGACGACATCTTTGGTGCGACGGAGGCGCGTCCTCGTCGTGTTGCGCGTCCCAAGCCTCTTGGTGGAGAAGGAGCTACGGGCGAAGATGGAGGAGACTTTGAAGAAAAATTTGATGACGACGAGAGTGACGCGGAGATTCACAATGACCAACCCCAGGGACTCGAGTCCGACTCGGAAGAAGACGAGTTTGAAGTGGACCCGGAAGGAACAGGTAAGCTGACAGAGACCGGCCAGGCAATGAAGGACTTGCTCAAGCGTGCCCAGAACGGAGAGATGTTGGAGAACAACAAGGAGAAGGAAGACGACGATGATGACGAAGAAGACGATAACTTCACCGCCAAGGACATGGACGTCATCAAGCGCGACTTGGGTGGAAACATCATCCGGGACCGCTCCACGGCACCGAGTGAGACTGCTGCTTCTAGCGAGGTCAAGACTGGAACTAGTGCCGCAGATGGCAATGTTGTGGACGCGAATAGCAAGTTGAAGGGCCCGGCAGCAGCTGGTGGTAGTGTCACTGGCAAGCGCAAGGAAGACGATAGTCGCGCGAAGGAGGACACGCCGGCGAAGGCGGCTAAGACATCAGCCGCTTCGTCGCAGAACAAACTGACGGAGGCTGGTGTGCAGCAGGAATTGATCCGCTACGGTGGACGTATGCGCACGCGTGATCTGCTTCGCAAGCTGAAGAAGTTGATCATCACGGACAACGACAAGGCGCTGCTCAAGGACATTCTTCGCACGATTTGTGATGTGGAAGTAGATGCCATTGACGGTCGTCTCCTGGTGCTCAAGTCTCAGTTCCGCTAAGCTTCACGAATTCACAGCAACCAATCCAGTAACCAGGCCTTGCTTTCATTTTCGCTATTAATATTAATAGTCGTTTGCTTTTTCTCTGAATTTTCTTAACACGTAAGTTGAAGCGACGCTGACCTTCACTCTGCATTCCGCACTCGACGTCCGCCATGCACCAGACCATACACCCGCAGCCGCTAGGCGGACAGCAGCTCCGACGTCTGCGTCGGCTACGAGAGGCTAACGACAACGCGGTGCACAAGGAGCATCTGAAGCAGCGTGGGGGCGTCTCTACCTCTCTCTACGACGCTCAGCAGGCTGTAGATCCCATCGCCTCTCGTACGGTGGATGCTATAGTAGAAGAGCGTCTGCAGAATAAAGGAAATAGCTCTACATCCGCTAGACTGCGAGATAAAGTGACAGCTGCTCGTCGAGGAGCTCAAACAGAGCGCAGTGAAAGGCCAGGCGATGAGTCGCGACAGCCAGAACGGACCAAGTCGACGAGAAAGATAGTTGCAGTAAGGAGAAGAGGAGGAAATCAAGACGAGAAGAGTAATAGTAGACAACGGATGGGGAAACTGGAGGCTGAATGGATTGAGAAGCAGCTGCAGTACAAGACTAGAGTGGCGACGCTAGAGAAAGAGTATAGGACAGCATGGCAGGGTTTCTTTGCTAGCGCGGGTACCTCCACTTCATCCTCAGGTTTTGTTTCGCTAGCAGAAGTGAATAAGATGCTTGAAGAGATGGATACGTTAAGAGTGGAAGATGTACGTAAGATGAAACATCAGCTAACGAAGCTGAGTAGCAAGCTGCGCGATGTCCAGGCGAAGGTAGAGGAGATCGCGAATGGAGACCAATTTTTCTCGGAGCTCCAGGAAAGAATTGACGTCATGGAAGCAGCTCTAGCGCAGTTTCAGCTGGACCAACTGCAACATTTTGAGGGGCATATGCTAAAGGAGAAGGTGATCGAGAAAGAATTATCTGCATTTATGGAGAAGATGGAAGGTTGGGAGAATGAGACGCCGTCGAGGTTAAGTCGAGGTGGTGCCAGCTCTGCGTATTTGGGTCCAAGAATGACACGTCTAAGCACCAAGAGCTCGTCTAATTTACATACCGAGAAACCCAACAGCAATAATGGCGGTGAGAGTGTGAATTGCAGCAATAAAAACCGAGAGGAAGATCGAACTGTGAGAGAAGGTACTCCAGATGAGATTGGTATGATGAATCGGGTACGTAGGCTAAACGAAGCAATTCTTCGGTCCGGTGGACTAAAGGGTGGGTGGGATAGTCGTGAGCATGCCGCATTTACCTCACTGTTGGTAAGATGCGGCCTCACCGACGAAGTATTACTGCAGAATTCTGGTCCCGAAGACTCGGAGACTAGCCTACTGCGAAAAAGTGCTTCGAACCAAGATTCCACCTCTGAGGGGCAACCTCAAACCAATACACTGAGCGACTATGAAACAAGAGTTGCACGATTCCTCCGCAGGTGTATGAGAAAGATTGTCACTCAGACAGAGAGCTCTGTACGATCGCATTTCGAGTGGTATTTTCGCCATCTCGAGCTGGTAGAGGAGAAAAAGCGCGTGATCCAGGACTGGAAAGCGCGAAAGGAAGAAGACCGCCAGCATATTATTAGCTGTGGTTTTGACGCCGACGGAACTGATAATTTAGATCGTGATGGAACACCAGAAACTCGTGATATTTCCTCCAGTGGACATAGTGATCGAGCAAAGTTGAAGTCACGAGAGAAGACGGAGCGCCTGTTAGAACAGTGGAAACGAGAAAAGAAACAGAAAGAAGTGGAGAAGGAACAGCGAAGACGAGAGCTACAAAAGAAACGCGACGCGGTAGAAGCAAAGGTAAAGTATACGAGGGTGATTATCGGTGTGCTGTCCTGCTAAAGCGTATGGTTCCTTCGTAACTATTGTAGCGGAAACAAGAGCAATTGGATGCCAAGCAGAAAATTATACTGTACAAAATGCAGAAAGAGCAAGAGGCCATGATGTTGGATCGCACTGTAAACCGTCTTTGTACAAATGATGATCTGTCGCTAGGACCCGTGCCAATTTCTTCTCCAGTACGTTTCATTCACGTGGTCCATGCTGCGCTTGCTTGCCTGACTTAATGGTGGTTTTGTGCGGTAGACATCGAACGAGGATTTAGTCGAGCGGTCTCGAATCGCTATTGAGTACGCGAAGGCAAAACGTCTACGGCTTCAACAGATTGAAGAACGAAAACAGCGGCAACAACAGCTACCTCCTCGTCCAGAGACTAAAACAACGGACGAACATGCTAGCCCTGTGCCAAAACAAGCGATGGTGTTTAACGCGACAGAAGCTTCCAAAGCGCGAGGTCTTAGTAAGGAAGAGATTCGGAGAAAAGAACGACGAAGAGAACGTCAAAGCGCGCATGACGCTTACATTCCGGGTAAGAAAGCAATCCCCGACGTCAAGTTCAAGAGCTTCGGACACATTCCAATTCAGCCACGCGCAATTCCAGCATGGAGAAAGAATATTTAATTCTCGAGGTTACGTTAAAGATGGGTAAAACAGCACGCACACCAGGACATAGAGCAACTCATGACACGGGGTTATGCTCCGGACAACCCACGCACTTGCAGCTATCGCCGCATGTGCACTCACCTCCGACGGACATGCCACACCCTGGCACGGCCCAGCCAACAGCAAGCGCGGCCGTATGTGCTACGGTAGTCATATACCTCGGACAACCGTTTTGAGGACAAACGCGCATATCGCACTTGTGGGATTGATAGTACTCATTCGTTGAGTTGGATCCTGTATCGCTTGATGATGTCGGCACAACCTCCATCGGGATCCCCCACGCTTCTTCTGACAACTCCAACATCTCAAACCCAACACGCTCAGCAGCTTTCAAGAGAGGGCTGGCGTCCAACAGCATCGCCACTACCAGAACTTCAACTCGATCCGTCAACAGCACGAGATTTTCAACACCTTCCACGGCCTTCAAGGCATCTTTGAGTTTAACGCCATTCAGACCCACGTCACCCAGATCATCGACGCGAAACCGAAATCGACGAGGCAGAGGAGTCTCAGCATTTACCTCCGAGTCAAATCCAATGTCAGACACAGCAGTTTGAATGGCGTCGACGTTCATATCTCCACGTATAACAATCTGACGGTGCTCAAAGCGCAGTCTAGCTGCCTCCACTCCTCCCAGTGCTCGGATAGCATTCAGCACCGACGAACCGCAGTTGGCAGGACACATCATGTCAGGTACACGAAGCACCACTTCTTTTCGCGTCCATGAAGTTGTCGACTGTTCGATGACGTTGATCTCAGCAACCTGGAGAGTATTCAGGGGTGCCAAGCTCTTTTCTAGGTCTAATGACTGCCCTCCACGCACAGCGACAAGTCGTGACCTACATGTAGAATCAGCACCTCCTCTCTCGTTATCCGGGTCAAAATCAGTGGAAGTTGGGCGAGATGGGGTTTCTGGAATCAGGTGAATACTCCGTACTCCGGCTATCGACCCCAGCATTGCCATTATAGTCTCGATCCCCATTAAATTCGAATGTGGCTTGATCTGTAGAATAGCTCGCGGCATCATTGTAGCTCTCGGCGTCGGTGAGCCAAGGGGTTCAAATTCGGTGCCGATTGTCTGATTCGTGGATGCAGCAACGCGTGTGATGGTGTTGCTACTCGCCAGCATGGGAAGCATTCGGGACGTAGACAATGAGGTTGGACTATTGCACGTGCAGCCCTCGACACAGTTGCAATTGCCTCCAAAACTACGTGCGCAGCCATTGTCCAAGCAGTTGGCAGCCTGAGAGCCGTCACAGCGCGCATTGGCTGAATTCGGAGACAATGGTATGAACGACGCCAAGACTGACGCACCCGAGCCTTCTGGTGTAGGTATTGCACTATTTCTTGGACTTTCATTGGAGTGATCACTGTTGTCTTCCTGTGTGGGCTTTACTGCTGCTCTCTGCTTTTGACTCCTTGCACACGTCGCACACATCGTTCCAGTATCATTTGGTGAACGCACCAGTCGTCTACAGCTCAATACTGAGCATACACGAGCGCCACCGTGCTCCGGGCAGAATCCCGTCGAGCCTCGAGCTGGTTGTTGGCAGTTGCGTCGGCGACATCGTCTTGCGCCGCCATGAGCTCGGCACTTGCCTCCTCCCTGGTCGATTTTGGTGCATCCTGGCTCTGAGCAGCGCTTACCCCCGCCGTGGGCTGTACATCTTCCTCCGCCAACATCAGCTTTTGGACAGTTAGCGATCTGGCAGCGTCTTCCGCCGCCGTGCGCTCGACACAGGCCTCTGCCAGCGTCCACCTTCCCACACCCGTCCACCTGACAGCGAGCACCGCCACCGTGTTGTCTACAGAAGCCGCCGGTCTGATAGCCTTTTGTGCACCCCGGGAACGAGCACTTCTTGCCGCCACCATGAGCCACGCAGAAGCCTCCGCCAGCGTCCACTTTTGTGCAGTCGGGGTTTGAGCATTGGCGTCGTGTGCGTTTCTTGCTGACAATTTTGGGTGTTGAAGCGGGAGCTATTGCTACAGCTGCAGATGCAGACACTGCGGCCACGGAGCTGCTGCCGGCCGCTCGCCGTGTTTGCATGTCAGCGTGTTGCGAGGAATGTGCGGAGACGAGCGGGTCACACCGCCGCCAGATTAATTTCGGCGTATGCACTAACGTTAAGTACGATATGACGAGGCAAGTTAATGGGTACAGTACGAAGTTGAGGTGAATGTTTCAGGGAAACGTGCCCTGTCAATAATCGCCCGAGGCTGGGATTACCGCACGGCTCAGCAAGACGAGCAGCTTCTACGTTCGCCGAGAGGCTATTAATAACTTATTATAGACACGTACAGTTATTATCATAGCTTCTGGGCGATTTACGGCTTTCGAACGTTTCCGACGATGCCTAGGCTGATACTATCACTATCCTGCATCGAGGTTACCGTCGCAAAGTGACCTTCATACCTATTCTTGTTCAATCTCAAATTTCTACAAATTACAGCGTGTATGAAACGAACTACTACAAAAAGCCTGTGATCGCGAGCTCATGTAGCTGGCAGGGCTGCTAAATATTTCAGTCGTGCGGACAGAGCTATCTCGACGTCAAGATCCGCGAGCTTCAAAACTGGAACTTCCGCCTCAACCTCGATGAAGGTTCGTTTCATACACGCTCTAATTTAAGCTTGAACAAGAAAAGATATGACGGACGATATCCCCCAGCAAAAGCGATGCAAGAGAGTATCAGCCTTGGCATCGCCGGAAACGTCCGAAAACCGTAAATCGCCCAGAACCCATGATAATAACTGTACGTGTCTATAATTAGTTAGAATTCCGTCGCGTTTTAGCGATTATTGCTGTTAATCAATTGAACCGCTGGAAGCATCGACTTTCTCCAAATAGTTTATAGTCTTTATCTACATTATGGCTTGTAACACAATACACCTCAACTTAGTAATAATTTATTGTCTGAGTTTCGCAGATTCAATATATTGTGGCTCTTCCAATTGTCAATATCAGCTATCTATTCTATGTTATGATTGGCAATAGATGATAATGCAGTATTGCTCAAACCCCGGCAGCACCAAAACCTTTTTCTTTCGGGATTGAGGAAAACACCTCGTCCGGGTCGATGCTGCCCATGTTGGGCACCACACCGTGTACGGGTAAGTGGAGCCATTCGATAAGGTCACGCAGACCCAATACGGCCTTGGGGTCCTGTGCGATATGCGTCTGGATCTTGCGCTCCACCCACATGGCCCAGCCCTCGTTGAGCCCGAAGTCTGTCCACGTGAGATTCGTCATCAAGCTGCCAGTCTACAAATGCGAGATCTTGCGCACCACCACGTCAACCAGCGAGCGGTCGCCGGCCAGCAGCGTGGGCGTCACGAACGTCAAACGAGGGTTCTTCATGCCTCTGTACGGGAAGGAAGGCGGCAGTCACAAGAGATGGTATCGTTTTCACACGTATTCCTGTCTTGTGATCTCCTCGGCGTGTTTTTAAAAGGGCCTCAGTCTGTACGAGCTCATGGGCGCCTTGCTTATCACCGTCGGTTCGGTGCACACGCGACTACGCGGCCTCTAGTCTACACTCTGTAATACGCCCGCTACAATGATCACGAGATACGAAGGAAAAGGCACAGACGGCTGGCAAGAGACATGGTACGTCACGTCCACAATGTTGTGGTGCTTAGGCCTGATGATCCTCAATGGCGCTCATGAGACGTGTGCACCCATCCGGGGCGGTAACAGTAGCCGAGTACATGAATTAATACTCCGGCGTGTCCGGACACGGCATGCGTGTATGGCTTGACACTGCCTGAAAAGGTACGAGCGCGTCTTGTCCTCCGTAGCCACTGCGTGCCGTGGAGATGGTGCAATTCACACGGATCTTAGTGGCGGGGTGGAGCACGGACACGACAAGAGAGCGGCCGGCTACAAATATTCTTGACAGTAGCCGATGCTCGATCGTCAACGCATCCATAGGCTCTGGTCGTACTGCTCCATACAGTAGTTCCCAGTAGTATCAAATTAAGGAGTGAAGACAACGAGCATAAAGGAAACCAAAGTACGCTCGTCTGCTTGAATATTCCTCATGTGCTGTGAATCTGTTTCAAATGAGATCTGTCGATGAATGTAATGCACGAGCACAAGCCCCATCAATCAGTCACCATTGGCTCACCACTCTCTGGCATCTGACTGGTTCTGGTGGTACAGTACACATCTCGAATTCGCAGTTTGATGCATTCCGGAGCACGACACATCGTTCGTGAGTGGACATTTTGGGTGCAGAATCCGTTACCGGCTCGGCGCTTGCGGCAACAACCCGAAAATGTGCAATTCGATCTTCCTTGACTTATGCTGACGGCACAAACCACTTAAAAGCGGTGACGTACTGCACCCCAGAGCACTGTAGCTGGGTCTCACCCCTCCAAGGCCTACGTAGCTACTACAATCAATCCGCCACTTGTGACATCCTGGATCTAGGCAAAGGTTTCTTCCCCCTTGTAGGTGGCATCGGCCTCGGGTCCGCGCAATCTTGGAACAGCTACCATTACTGCATGGAGGTAGAGCTCTGCCGTGTCTATTGCTTCCCGTTAGCGACGGTAGTGCGGTCTTCGCGCTGTCATTTGCCCGAGCCGTCATGGCTGCGACATGACCCTCGTAGTTTTGTTGCAGCATTCGACTTTACATCTGGGTCTGCCACTATCCTTATCACACACACATCTCGGAACTGATCAATGCTTGTAGATTGGCATTCCTCAAATCACAGCAGTGCGCAGCGGCTTCGGTATGAGCAGCTGTGTCACTACATCGAGAAAAGAGACGTTTAAGCTCTGCGATATCAGAACAAGACTAAGCGGTTGAAGAGGGAAGCGCTGGATCTACACTGCCGAATTATCTCGCTATGCCACGAAGCTGAGCGTCTTGGGTGCTCTACAGCTACAAATGGCTTCTAGAGGCGTAATTTCACTGGCCGGTTTAGACGGAAGGACATTCATTGAAATGTTGCTTGCTTCTGAAGGTGAACTGAGCGGAGAAAGAGCCTTCGCGACAGGAAGTAATTTTGGCGGTGAAGAGGGTTTGCCGACTGGAAGTGGTTTTGGCGAGCCCAGTGGACGAACAATTGTTGCTAGAAGCAATTCAGATGTCGTGACATTGCATTCGGTGAGGTTTCTACGGTCGAGTTCGGGTTCTGGCAAGATCGTGTTTGGGACACCCACCGCAGAAATACAACTTCTAGAAAAGTGGGGCGCAACGATAAAATGCTGCCGTACTTATAGTCCTTGTAAGCACGAAAGCTGTACTTCCGAGGGCAGAGTCAGCGAGAATTTCCGGAAGCGCAACGCCCAGCTCAACGGTACTTGCAAATGTCATCATGAAGGTTGTTGCAACATCGCCCGATCTGGTGGGCTTTGCAGGAAGCACGGTGGTCAATCGCTCGGTAGCCGAGAAGTCGTTCTTCATCCGCAGTTTCGAGGGGTTTATGTAACAAGCGCAGTAGCTTCGGCCTTTTCCGCGTGGAAGGATGTACCAGCATTGATCAGTTCCGAGATGTGTGTGTGATAAGGATAGTGGCAGACCCAGATGTAAAGTCGAATGCTGCAACAAAACTACGAGGGTCATGTCGCAGCCATGACGGCTCGGGCAAATGACAGCGCGAAGACCGCACTACCGTCGCTAACGGGAAGCAATAGACACGGCAGAGCTCTACCTCCATGCAGTTATGGTAGCTGTTCCAAGATTGCGCGGACCCGAGGCCGATGCCACCTACAAGGGGGAAGAAACCTTTGCCTAGATCCAGGATGTCACAAGTGGCGGATTGATTGTAGTAGCTACGTAGGCCTTGGAGGGGTGAGACCCAGCTACAGTGCTCTGGGGTGCAGTACGTCACCGCTTTTAAGTGGTTTGTGCCGTCAGCATAAGTCAAGGAAGATCGAATTGCACATTTTCGGGTTGTTGCCGCAAGCGCCGAGCCGGTAACGGATTCTGCACCCAAAATGTCCACTCACGAACGATGTGTCGTGCTCCGGAATGCATCAAACTGCGAATTCGAGATGTGTACTGTACCACCAGAACCAGTCAGATGCCAGAGAGTGGTGAGCCAATGGTGACTGATTGATGGGGCTTGTGCTCGTGCATTACATTCATCGACAGATCTCATTTGAAACAGATTCACAGCACATGAGGAATATTCAAGCAGACGAGCGTACTTTGGTTTCCTTTATGCTCGTTGTCTTCACTCCTTAATTTGATACTACTGGGAACTACTGTATGGAGCAGTACGACCAGAGCCTATGGATGCGTTGACGATCGAGCATCGGCTACTGTCAAGAATATTTGTAGCCGGCCGCTCTCTTGTCGTGTCCGTGCTCCACCCCGCCACTAAGATCCGTGTGAATTGCACCATCTCCACGGCACGCAGTGGCTACGGAGGACAAGACGCGCTCGTACCTTTTCAGGCAGTGTCAAGCCATACACGCATGCCGTGTCCGGACACGCCGGAGTATTAATTCATGTACTCGGCTACTGTTACCGCCCCGGATGGGTGCACACGTCTCATGAGCGCCATTGAGGATCATCAGGCCTAAGCACCACAACATTGTGGACGTGACGTACCATGTCTCTTGCCAGCCGTCTGTGCCTTTTCCTTCGTATCTCGTGATCATTGTAGCGGGCGTATTACAGAGTGTAGACTAGAGGCCGCGTAGTCGCGTGTGCACCGAACCGACGGTGATAAGCAAGGCGCCCATGAGCTCGTACAGACTGAGGCCCTTTTAAAAACACGCCGAGGAGATCACAAGACAGGAATACGTGTGAAAACGATACCATCTCTTGTGACTGCCGCCTTCCTTCCCGTACAGAGGCATGAAGAACCCTCGTTTGACGTTCGTGACGCCCACGCTGCTGGCCGGCGACCGCTCGCTGGTTGACGTGGTGGTGCGCAAGATCTCGCATTTGTAGACTGGCAGCTTGATGACGAATCTCACGTGGACAGACTTCGGGCTCAACGAGGGCTGGGCCATGTGGGTGGAGCGCAAGATCCAGACGCATATCGCACAGGACCCCAAGGCCGTATTGGGTCTGCGTGACCTTATCGAATGGCTCCACTTACCCGTACACGGTGTGGTGCCCAACATGGGCAGCATCGACCCGGACGAGGTGTTTTCCTCAATCCCGAAAGAAAAAGGTTTTGGTGCTGCCGGGGTTTGAGCAATACTGCATTATCATCTATTGCCAATTATAACATAGAATAGATAGCTGATATTGACAATTGGAAGAGCCACAATATATTGAATCTGCGAAACTCAGACAATAAATTATTACTAAGTTGAGGTGTATTGTGTTACAAGCCATAATGTAGATAAAGACTATAAACTATTTGGAGAAAGTCGATGCTTCCAGCGGTTCAATTGATTAACAGCAATAATCGCTAAAACGCGACGGAATTCTAACTAATTATAGACACGTACAGTTATTATCATGGGTTCTGGGCGATTTACGGTTTTCGGACGTTTCCGGCGATGCCAAGGCTGATACTCTCTTGCATCGCTTTTGCTGGGATATCGTCGCAAAGTGACCGTCATATCTATTCTTGTTCAATCTTAAATTAGAGCGTGTATGAAACGAACCTTCATCGAGGTTGAGGCGGAAGTTCCAGTTTTCAAGCTCGCGGATCTTGACGTCGAGCTCCTTCTCGCTCAGGTGGGATAGCTCTGTCCGTACGACTGAAATAGTTAGCAACCCTGCCAGCAATAGACCATCACGGACACCAACCATTGAACTCGCGATCGCCCACCCCCACAGGCTTTTGGTTCGTCAAAAACTCAAGCAGCGCCTCCAGCTCCTTCGTCAACGGAACCGTCGACGGGATCGTCTACACGGTAGAGAAGGCAACGTCAGCTTCTCCAGTGAAGACCCCACTAGCAGCCATTGCAGCCACGTTCGACGCACATCTGGGAAGTAGCTCGACGACATTTCACAGTCTCGCAGCTTTTCAATGATTGGCAGCCATTTTGCAATTTGTCTTCTGATTGGTTGAAAACCCGTAAATGACGTTAATCACACAAACGTCTCACTCTGAATTGAGCGGTGACGATGGCGATGCGGCTGCATCCGCACCGCCTGCGCGTGCTGAGGACGAAAAGCCCGTACTTGCTCAGCCGCGCCTCCTTCTTCTTGTTCCCGTCGCCATCTCGCTCGCTGGTCAAGTCACACACGGAGACGCGTGTCGTGCCTTTCTCCTGCACCGAAATGTTCGATGTGGTGGCGGATGTGGATCGCTACAACGAGTTCCTGCCCTTTTGCGTTGAGTCACGCGTGCTGCGAAGGCCCAATGACAACGTCATGGAGGCGGCTTTACGCGTAGGCTTCAAACTCTTTACCGAGTCCTACACGTCCCGTGTGCTCATGATCCGGTGCGTGTCGTATCTATCTGTCGTGTGCTCAAGTAGATTGTTCTTAACTCGGGGTATGTTTTAGACCCAATAAAATCGCAACGAAAGCGATTGACTCACCGACATTCAAGCGGATCGAGAGGTTAGTACATGCCTTAATATTCCTTGAGGGAGCTGTGTAGTTATTCATCGCGAGGTGGATTGTGTGTTGTTGATAATGACAGTGAATGGGTTTTCAAGCCGTGTGCTACACCTGGAAGCTGTGAGGTGGACTTCAAAGTGACCTTCGAAGTATCGTCGTTCCTCCACGCGAATGCCATCCAGCTCTTCTTCGATGACGTCGCACTTACGCAACTTAATGCGTTTATTGGTCGTGCGAGAAAAAAATACGGGACAGCACCTCGCCCAGTGCCTCAAGCCGCTGAGAAGGCAGAGCCACCACGAATGACGAAAGAGTCCACTGCGAACACTATCGCGGGTGAGAGTACCGATAATGACGTCGCAGAGGTTACCGCTGCGATGGACGAAGACGACGAAGCTGCTAAACGTGTAGCAAAGGCCAATGCATCACGCCGCATCAAAGGTGGTATTTCTGCGCAAACGTACAGCGACTTGGCGGATGTTTTCACCGACTACGCTGACAAGGACGGCAAACTATACTATGGCGGGTTTACAGCAGCTTGTATGGCTCTAAGCGACGAGTACGAAGATATGAAGGAAGTTAGTGAGAGCGCCGCTCTTGCAGGAGCCGTGTTTTCCAGTTTCGAGACCCATGCCACCCCAAAGGATTGGCTCTCGCTGGATGAGTTCGTAGTGGGCGTGTATCTGATGACTAAGGGCACGTTCGAGCAGAAAGCCCACAGTTTGTTTGAGATTGTCAACAAAACAGGGGATGGCAAGATTACGCGCGAAGAATTGACTGAAGCGATGCAGCAACGGATTCGAGCTGTGAAGAAGCTCTTCCCTAAGCTGTTGCGAGACCAAATTCAAATCCAGATGGCGAACGAGCAGGTCAAAGAATTGTCTTCTGTCCAGGACGCTGCCATGGCGAGTAGCGTCCAAGCCATTGAGGAACTGATGGAGGAGGTGGAAAAAGAAATCCCCCTCGCTGTAAATCAGATCTTCCGTGAAGCCGACCTGGACCAGGACGACTACATCCGCGAGCAGGAGTGGATGTTCGCGTGGCAGGCACGTCCAGAGTTTGTGGAGCTGCTGACAATCGATGGAATGAACAAAATGGCACAGTGGGCGTCGGTTGTACAAGAGGTCACTACAGACGACGATAACGATGATGACGACAAGACTTAATCTTCTGGGCAGAGTCTAGATACAAGGCTAACCTACGTGGACTAAGAACGATTTTTTGCTTGTACGACCTCCATTAAAGCGTTCCACCCTGCACATTTTAATAATTGCGTTGATGTAATACATGTATTGTAGGCGACATTGAACATTGGGCCAGAATCTACAGTAGAGAGGCATAAGTGGTCTACATTTAGGAAAACCTATATCGACATATAGATATAGGGTGCAATCATGCGTTTAGATTTCGATTTGTGGTAATTTTTAGCCAATTCCCAGCCGTTTTGGAGCTACAGTCGTTTAAAAATGCCCTCTCAGAACACTGTCATTTTCGGGGGAAAGGCGCGCCAAATCCACAGATATGATTGGTCTAGAATTAAAATCATATGTCAAAAAGGAAGATGACACATCGCCCGGTCGCAGATTGCCCTTGTCGATTTAACATTCAATTCTGCCAGCAGGATGGTGAAAAAAATGATAAAGGTATTATACATGGATTTTGTTATGTTTTTATCATCTACTGTTCTAATTCCTTCTGGGCTTTGTACAAATATTAGTTTGAAAAGGAAATGTTACAATATCAGTTATAATTGATATACCTCAAAATCAGGGTCTGGGTTATTCTTTTTCTCATTAACCACGGAGTCAACGGTGTTGGGAGCACAACCAAGGCAATCAGAGACCAGTTGGCATGTCCTGATGCCTTTGAAGAGGCCTTGTTCCTTCTGGCTTTTGAAATACTCGTAGCTGTTCACAATCACCCGCTTCTCTCCTGGGCAGAACTCGTGCTTGCCGGACATTTTCGCTGACCTTAAAGGATGCTTCTGGCTAATTGATGAGTTCTACCGCCCTCTCAAGACACTAAGTTATATATAGCACTTTTATTTATATCAAACAGACAATTATTAGACTTCTTACAGTCTGTATAGTATGGGTTATAATTTCTGGCCCAATGTTCAATGTCGCCTACAATAGTAGGAAGACGCAGGTACCGTAACTGGCATGATGGTTGCCGCCAAATGCTGTTAGCAAGGAAGTTGGGATCAATTTCTCTGTAACGTTACTGGAATCGCGTGATCATCATTAGTGATTTACATGTACCAGATGGCAGCCGAGTTGTTGTAAGTCAAATACAGCATCCAAGTGTGTATGTGAACCGTATGTCAATGACTGAGTTTTAGAATTCGCTACGTGTTTTAGAACACAACTGTATGTCTGCATTATTTTATTTTAGGCTCAAAGTTACGAGTACACTTCTCTCATTATTACTGGAAGCGTTACCACAGCTCGGAGGATTCATTCCATGGTGACTAAGGTGATTTAACAAAACTCCATTCCAATGCACCCTCTCAAAACTCCATCTGTGATCGAAACGAACAGAGGGCCTCTGTAAAAAGAACAGAGGGCCTCTGTAAAAAGAACAGAGGGCCTCTGTAAAAAGAACAGAGGGCCTCTGTAAAAAGAACAGAGGGCCTCTGTTCTTTTCGACCACAGATGGAGTTTTGCATCCTCCATTCCCGCAAATGTAAAGAACGCTGTGGATTCCTATGATTAAAATCGGATGTGCCCATATTGCACACAAGATGTTCAAGATGACGGTTGTGCTACGACGTAACCTTTTAGAAGAATCATGTGCTTGTGTGACGGTTTTAATCAGTGGATAGAACTCTGCGGGCGGCCGAAGGACAATCGGCTTCACTCTTCTATTTGCGAGATCGCGCTGAACCGAATCGTCGAGTGACAAGATGCACCTCCCGACTCTCGCCCTTACCTTCGTGGCCGCGGTGACCGGCGCTTTGGCTGGCTCGCCCCCACAACAGCAAAGTAACCCGCAGCCGATTCTGTTCGCTGCAACCTACACGCGCGACGAAGGTTGGATTAATGGCACGGGCAAGGGCATCTACACGTACAAATTTGACACGACGGATGGATCTCTGACTCCCTGGGGAGTCACGCCCCTTGGCATCAACCCTATGTACGTCCAGGGCACCACCAAGACGTTCAAAACGGGCGAACGCGTTATCTACGCGATTAACGCCGTCAGTGACGAGTCCAAAAAGCACCCTGGCACCCAAACCGGATTCGTGTCGGCTCTCACTTTGAACGATGACGGCACACTTGAGCTGCTTAACACGCTCGAGACGCACGGTGGGTCACCAACGCACATCTCACTGAGCCCACAAGAGGACTTCGTTGTCATCTCCAACTACGGTGGCAGTCTCACCATGTTCCCATTGAACGCGGACGGCTCTCTTGCAAAGGAATCCTTCCATCAGGAATTCCCGAAGGGAAGCAAGGTCGTCATGGACCAGCAGGCTTCGGGTCACATCCACAGCACCACATGGCTTCCCAACTCCAAGAACGTCGTCGCAGCTAATCTCGGTAGCGACGAGCTGCTACAATTTAAGCTTGACGAGAAGAAACAGACGCTGAAGACCCTGAAGGCCGTGAACCGTCCGCCCGGATCAGGACCGCGTCACATGGCGCTCCACCCGAATGGAAAGATTGCGTATGTTGTGGACGAGATCTCCAACACTGTGGGTGTGTTCAATATCGACAAGAAGGCGGCTCTGCTTTCAAAGACTGCGCTGCAGAAGATCTCGACACTTCCAAAGGATTTCAAGAACACCAGTACGAGCGCTGACATCCACTTGTCTAGCAACGGAAAGTTCCTGTACACGTCGAACCGTGGCCACGATTCCATCGCGATGTTTAAAATTAATGAGAACGACGGCACTCTGACGTCTCTGGGCTTTGAAAGCACTCGTGGCAATGTCCCGCGCGGTTTCACGGTGTATGGCGACTGGCTGATCGTGGCGAACCAGAATTCGAATGACATGTACGTGTTCGCGGTGAACAGCAAGACGGGTCTGCTGAAGTACACTGGTAACTCGTACGAGATCGGAACAGCAGTGTGCCTGTACGTCGCTGAATATTAAGAGTTTTGTGGTCATTGCTTTATGAATGGAATGATATCCATCAGTAAAGCAAATTAAGAAACGTTGCAGAAAGAACTGGTACATGTACTTTGGTGGTCGTCACTGTAGTGACTGGTGACTCATTCGCTACAGTACATGCATTATACTGTAGTATTAAAATAATACAACGTACAACTACTGAATCTGTAGTAAAATGAGTATCTAGTACTGTAGTAGTAGTATCTCTCTCACTAACGTTGTTATTCTTAATAATTCTTGAAAAAACGTAACGTTAGTACTTCACTAAGGTAGCTGTAGCAGTATTATGATTATATATCCTAAAAGGTATTATAATACAGCCTGGCAGTTAAAAAACAAAACTACTACTTCTGATCACACCAATGGGTAAGGAGGCCAGTGCATCAGGTGACGAAATGGCAAGGCGACTACCAACAGCAAAACGACGACCACGCCCTCAGCGTAAACAAACTAGAATGGGTGTAGCTAACGTCAACGACGAAAACTTCTCCCGGGTGTGTCAGGTGTTTCCAAAGTACTTGTAGCACGTCCACGAGACGAAAACAGTACACCATTTCAGGTTCGTTCTCCCCACCGCATGAGTTCGATACAACCACCCCAGATCCGACTTGCACATAGGACCGGGCAAATCTCTGTTCAAAACACCCAATGCCTGAGTTCAATACACACAGGTGTCTCTTTTATTTTTTTGCCAATTACTGCGAAAGTACCAACTTTTGTCATTTTCCTACCAGAGCCGTGAAGGCATTTAAGCGTCTTGCCCGTCGCACCCAAGCCCGCGCAGTCTCCACCACAACGCCGTTGTCAGCTGGCACCAAGCGCCAGTTCTCACCCTTCTTCGCTGCCTTGAGGACACGTGCACGAACGTCTTCAGGGTAAGTGTTACCCATTCTGCCAAAACGAAAGTGGGCGCGAGGCGAAGCGATGAATGGATGGAGGATGCCTTTGAATTCTTCAATGGTCTCGAATTCTCGAATGGTCTCGAAACGACAAAAGTTATGACAAAAGCTGGTACTTTCGCAGAAATTGGCAGAAAAACAAAAAGAGACACCTGTGTGTATTGAACTCAGGCATTGGGTGTTTTGAACTGAGATTTGCCTGGTACTATGTGCAAGTCGGCTCAGGGGTGGTTGTATCGAGCTCCTGCGGTGGGGCGAACGAACCTGAAATGGTGTAGACACAGTTAGGGAAGCTGGCACTTCCAAACGTTTAGCCGATTGTATTGCTTGCTCAGTAGAAAGCAAAAGGTAAAGTGACTAGACTACTCTGTCCGATTCCTCTTCTCGCCACAGCAAACCTCCTGGGCACTGACATGGAACATCAAGTCTAGTAATTAACACTGCAAGTGCAAGGACGGCCAGCTGGTAGTAAATGCAGCTTGCATTTACCAATGAGGACAAGGCTTTCAACCTGAGCCACACGCTACAATTCCCTCCCAAGTCTTGTTCACAACTTGCAAACAGGCAATATGGGTATTTTCATAATACAATCTTGCAACGTCAGTTTGGTACACTGTACCACATGTTTGGGACACTGTACCATAATCTAAAATTCATATTTCCTTATGCCTACAATCACACAGGCTGAGTCATAGATGCACAGACCACTGACCTTGTACGTCTCACTACTTCAAGGCAACTGCCGAAATAGTAAGGATCTTGTTCACACTGTGACTGCCAACGTGGCATACGAAGATCTCTAGCTCGAGGTCAGCTTCTGCAAAGCTGTCGCCAACTTGGCGTCCTCGGCAGCTTCCACGTAGGTACGTATTAGCACAGGGTATCCTGTGCTAAAGGCTTCAAAGGCTCCCATGAGTCCTCTATGGGCTCTAAGCCGCACCAACTCACTAGGAGTTCAAAAGCCTGGTTCTGTTCGTTCCAACGGTGCTTGCTAAGTCGGTCAACCTTCAACACAATGCCCTGGGAGGCGACGTGCTCCAGTAGTTCCTCCGTAGCTTCCAGGTCGCTGTCCGCGTACAGCTTCAAGCGTGAAGCATGCATATCTTGCTCCTTGTCGGTAACGAGGTGCCGAATACGAAACGAATGAGAGTCCGCACGGGTAACTACGTAGGGACCGATCCAGGTGACTAGCAACCTGTTGTGTCGTCGCTTATCGACACGTGATCTTAGGACATAATCACCCACAGAAAAGTTGACTTCTTTTGCACCTCGGGACTTTCTTTTGCTCAGAAAAGTGAACTTCTCACGCTTGTCCTTGACAGCACCGTGCATGTCTGCAATACTAGACCGTAGCTTTGCCAAAGATTTCTCGATGGCTGTACTCGAAATAGATACTGCCTTAGGTTGATCGTCAGGTACATGCAGGATGTAGGCTGGCGCTGGCGCTGGGCATGGCAAGCCAGTGAATACCTCAACAGGGGCTTTGTTAGCTAGAGAAGCCACCGGAGAGGGATTCATGCTAGCTTGCACCAAAGGTATAAGATAGATCCAGTCGTTGTGCGAAATCTTGTACTCCATAATCATTGCACGTAGCCCTTGCAGTATATCTCTGTTTGCACGTTCCACGGATCCATTGGTCCACGGACTATACGCCACTACGAACTGCTGTTCACATTTCAGTCGCTTGCATAATTCGGCAAGAACTTGGCTCTTGAAATGCAAGCCACTGTCACTGACCTATACAGGGAGTACACCAAACCGACTGTGCCACCCAAGCAGGACATCAACTGCAACCTCACTTGTTGGTGTATCACATGCAATCAACTCACAGAAATGGGTAAAGTTGTCCTTCAGTAGTAGTAGGTACTTGCATGAGCCAAATCCATCACCCAAATAGAGAAAATCCCAGTGCAAAGCTCCATTGCGAATGTCAGAGCGGTACAGCTCACCTCATGGTCTAGGCACCACCCTGCCCCCTTTTACATGCTGGCAGAGCAAACATGAGCGTAGGAAGCGACGAACTAGAGCAGAAATTCCCAATCGAAAAGACACGGCGGATGTGGTTCAAGACCACGGCTTCACCACGGTGACCCTGTGCCCCATAATGGGCGATAATCAGAAGTCGCTGGATGAGAGATGTGGCAGCAGCAGGTATCCAAATACAGTCATCAAGTCGGTAGACACCATGTTCATCTGCAGCACTAGCTGTAGGAACAGAAGCTACATGAGCCGCTTGCGTAGCCGCGATTCACTTAACGTCGGCCAGGTGAAGTTCTCTTGATCAAGAGATCGAAACAAAGGCTTGCGAGAAACTTTGGTCTGTGAGCGAGTGACTCGCTTCAGGCTAGGCATCGTAGTCGTAGATATCATAGAAGTAGCTGCCCCACCCCACCGACTAAGCATATCTGCCCACAAATCGTTGGCACCCTCGATATGAACGATAGTATAGCGAAACTCCATGGGTTTTATCGCCCACCGAAGTAATTTACCGCGTACGCGCTTCTTTACTGCTTGTCCGGGAGCAAATACATGGATGAGGTTCCGGTGGTCACAAAAAAACTTAAACCACCGGGCCTCAGCAACAGGTAGTCAAAATCTTCACAGGAGTGCACGATCGGTAGGGCCTCCTCCTCAATGACGCTCCAATGAAGTTGAGCACCAGTGAAAAACCTTTCTTACAGATCAGTAGCTCATGTTTCTGCTCTGTAATTGCAACTCCTTGTTTCCATTTATCCACTTGCGTAAGGACACTCGCTAGCATATGTAAACAAGCAGTAGATGGCGTCTTCATGCGGATGAGTCATCATGGCCGAGCTCTGCAGGAGCTTCTTGACCTGTTAAAAACTGTGAAAATCACCATCAGCCAAAGAAATGCTGATCCTCGAGCAACACGCTTCGTCTTTCGCTTACCAGCTAGTGCACGATCCAACACCAATTGCAGCGGACGAATAATACGAGCATAGTCAGCTAGACTGTCTCGCATCCAGCTCGTTGCACAGGTAAACTGTTGTAGCTGTCCAGCTGTGGCTGGTACCGGCATCAAAGTTAGTTCTTCAATCCGTTTCGGGTCATGGCGGACACCTTCCTCGTTGATCACTTTTCCACACCAGGTAGCAGAGCGTTGATACAATGAAGACGTCTTCAAGCTCAGCTGCAATCCGTGTTCATTGACCAAGTCAAACAACCGCTCAAGCGCAACAAGGTAATCCTCGATTGTATCCGAGTAAAACAAGAGATCATCAATCCATATCAGCAGGTGCTGATCCAATAGCTCAGCGAAACAGTTTTCCATTGAGACTTGAAAATGCAAAGCCGAGTCACAGCTTCCTTGCATCACACGAGTCGGCGTGAACACACCCTCATCCGTCATATAAGAGAGCTGCTCTCTGCTTTCCATCGCCACAGCAAGCTGCCAAAAACTGCGGATGAAATCGAAAAGACCATGGTGTTTCCTGCCCTTCAAACACCCCAACTTGGTCTTCGAGTTGGGCATGACACCGGCAATGGCTTCAGTCATCGCGTTCAGCAGCTTGTAATTCACTGCTTGGCGAAACTCATTCACTTTCGGATTCTTAAGAGGCAGTGCTGCACAAGCCCAGTGGCCGCTCGGGTTCTTGTAAACCCAGCCAAGGCCCACCAAAGTATTGTTGAATTCTTTCAGGAACGCACTCTGCAAAGGACCATACTGTCGAGCTTTGCACCGGAAAGGCTTTGCATCCTTTTTTAAGCGAAGCTTGTATGGCGGCACCTTGGCAGGAGGGTCGTCACAAAGTACTAGCCGCCAGATGTCATGCTTCTTCGTGACCCGACGCAGTTCCTCAATGCAAACCTCTGGAAACCCATTCTCAAGCCCAGCAGTGAACAATCTCTCAAGCCCTTCCTGGATGTCAACATCATTTGCATGACCAGGACGAAAGTCATCATCACCCGAGATAGGGTCCTCGTTGTCCTCGAGTTTACCACCAGCAAGTTGCTCGAGTTGTCGGTCCACATTAATTCCAAGAGAGAGTAGCACGTCGTTGCCTACGATAAATTCGTCATCATTTTCGTCAATAATGAGACAGTCAACCGGTTCTGCAAGCTCCACCGGTCCAGCTGCAGTGTGTAGTTGGATTGTAAGCAGTACAGATTCACAAGCTTCCATATCATGGCCACCGA